AAAGATCATCTGCGACCAACACCATACACACTCAAAAAAATGGGTTCTATACCCAAAGGGTAAAAACGGAACCCAATTACTAAGACTCCACTGTCCGTCTGTCTGTCTGTCTGTCACCAGGCTGTATCTCATCACTAAAATATTTTTTATTTTTAAATTTGTATATAAATATATTTTTAAGTTTTTAGACATTCATTAGTTTTAAGCTTTTGTAATATAAATATTTCTTTATTAATAACTAAATAAATATATGACGAATAATTAAAATAAAATAAATATATTTAGGCCGGGCTCCCATACAACAGACGTGATTTCTGAAGTTTTTTTCTCGATATTATAGTGTCTTATGTTGTATTAGATAAAGGTACGGAATCTTTCGTGTGCGAGTCCGACTCGCACGTAGCTGGTTTAATCGGTTCGTAATTGTTTAGATATGTTTGTATTTATTTGTATATTCCACGAGAACATAATCATTGGATGGTATTTTGAATACTAGCTTTGCCCTACCACATTTTGCTACAGATTAAAAGAAAACTAAAAAGAACAACGAATCGATTGCAAGATAAAAATATAAAAAAAACACGTTCATGAAACATTAAAAACACCCAAACTGTCAACATCCTTCGCTGTATCGCTTTATGTGAAACTCTATTGAGTATATTTACTTAGCTAAAACTTGCACCTAATTGAATAAACATTATATTATTCTTTTAAATACCTACCTATGTTCATCGTAGGTTGGGAAACAAAATTCCAAATAATTCACGTTTTCATACACCTAAGCGGACCGGGTCAGGTTACTAGTATTTAACGAGAGTACTGCAACGGCTTTAACGAAGTCTGGCAATATTTGACAAACGAGCACCTAACAAGGAAGGTGTTAGCTGAGACCCTTTCATTACGATTCCAAACCAAGTCCATTCGGAGATGACTAGTGGAACTTCCAATTCAGCCTTTAACTGCCACCAAAACATTGATTACTGGAGAGTGTCCAGAATATCTAATGGAAGATTTGATGCTATCCCTTTCTGCAAAATGAATGCGAGAGCGAGATAAAAATGCTCACGGTGGTAATACGCTATTGGAATTCGTTATTAAGCTCCGTGGATATTGGTATTTTTTTTTTGTACGTTTAATATAATACTTCGGCATAATCCCTGTCATGACTGGCCACGTCAATAGTAATTGACAATTCGTGTGTGACAAAGGCTCGATAAACATGGTTATGAATAAGAGGTTCGTTTTTATTCTAAACATAGACATTACACAAAGGTCCTCTTTCACCAAAGATCTTAATTCAAATGAAGGCTTAATCGTGTTAAACACATCATTCCATCTTTGTCAATTATTTAAAGTTAAAATAGGTAAATTTAAAAAAATCATATTTCCGGCTGATTCAATATTACTTCAATACTTCAATATTACAAGCTACTGACCATTCGTATTTCTAAGGCTACAAATTTATACTAAGAGAAATCAAGAAACGCAGTGAGAGCTTTTCCATATCTATTTTACATAATACAGGACACGTCAAGTTGAAAAATGACCTCGAAGCTAAGAGTTAAAATCCCATCTTTCATTCGTAAGGTATCAACATAATATAGATAGCCAACCCTTCCTTTTTGCTTATGGACAAAATATGAATCATCGAGTAGTATTACTGTGTACAATGAACGTATACATACTCGCTAACTTGTACTGCGGCCCAAATTTCAGATACGCGCACTTAAAAAAAATATTCACTTTACTTACAGTGAGGACTGATTCTTACGTATGTTGTAGAGAATATTGTAAACAACTTGAAATTAATACTGTTAGACACAATCTGTCAGCATTTTTTATTGCTTTTCATATCGAAAGCAAAAATCATAACGTTATTGATTTTCTGCAATAATTTTGATAATTAGATTAGGAAATTATTGAATTTTTTAAAAAGGTTTCTTTTACACTATTTATAGGACACCTTTAATGAAACAGGATTAAAAAGGCACTTAATTACCATGAGCTTGCCTTTTCTCACAGTGGCACTTTAAATAAGCTTAGGGAATTTTTGGCCCCTAAGATCGGTCTGGCAGCTTATCAAATATTACAATAGCCCTCTAAATATCATAGATAAATAAATATCAGGTCTCAGACTGTAATTAAGTTTTTATTTTTTGCTTTTGACAATTAAAGTATCTGGTAATAAATACTGCTGACAGAATGTGTCCGGCAGTATTAATTTAAATTATTCACAACATTTTCTCCAACATCAACAATATTTAATACCCCTAGATACACCATATGAGCTTAAAATGTGTCCCAATCAAGAAGTCAAGCATTTCTTCGTTCACAGTGACGCGCGCATATTTTGTCCATGAGAAAAAAAGGAAGGTCTGGCGGTCTTGGGATCTTACTCTGAGAAGGAAATCTACCAAGAGTGGTTCAAACGAGTCACATAAATTTTATTTATGTAACATTTTTAGATATTTTTTTCATGTCCGTCGGGGATTTCAAATCATATAAGGTTTATAAATACATTCAGTTTAACACGATTGTAAAAAAGTATATAATTCTCAGGGTTTAAATAAATAAATAAAGATTTCCAACACTCACACCAATTAGCCTAGCCCCAAAGTAAGCACTATAAAGGCATGTGTTATGGGATACTAGGGTAACGGATAGAATACATATATTGTACATATATAAGTATATTTATATGAGATACATATTAAACATCCATGACTGGAGTACAAATGCTCGTATTCATCACACAAACATCTGCCCCCACCGGGATTCGAACCCGGGACTTCTCAAGTGGGCGACGCCATGAAACCCTGCATATTAACCACTCGGCCTCGGAGGTCGTGAAACTTTTACGTTTACTTCTTTACAAATTAAAAATTATTACCATACCCTCCGGTTTGGGTTGGCCATTTTTTTAAGTTTATTTAATGGGTTTTTAAATGACATTAATATTGGTGGGGTACTTACGCATGTAAAGGGTTAATAACGCTTGAAAGGTATTTTCGCGGAGGTGAGATTTTTTATAGCCGTGTGTAGTTATATAGTATAGGTTTGAATCTTCTCTTAGATTAAAAAGTCTTTAGAAGAACGTCTTCCAAAATGCGATTATTTTTTCATCTCGTTTCTAACTAGTAGTCCATTTATTTTTAGGACAGTATTACTTTTTTTAGTTTTTATTTTCTTTTATAACTTTTATTCTTTCAGCTAATAAAAAAGAGGAAGACAAACAAAGAGTAATTCACATTTCTCGTATGATTGTACGACGGGGTATTATTAAGGATTCCTGAAAGTTTGAATGCCTGAAATTATGTTTCATTGAATGAACACAATGAAATTTTATATTAAGGGTACGAAATGTTTTATTTTTCATGTATTTACAAAAATTTGATTCCCTCATAATAAAAAGGAAATTATATTATAAGGAAATAAAAAAAAGGTTAAGTCTTATGAGTTTCAATGAATCAGCGCAGCTCGTAACATTAATAGAGAAATAAATCTGTTGATTCGAACTCTACTGTTTAATTTTTTTTTTTATATTAAAAAAACAAATATTGTAGGTAGGTACTTGAAAAATCAAAATCAGTATCCACATATAAAAAACTGATCTAACTAATAGCGAGTACCTTACATATCTTCGTTATTATTTCTAGGAAGATCTGAACACGATGCATCAAGATATAAGTAGTGTTTCTCGAAAAGTGGGTCTTAAGATGAACATGGATACGACGAAAATCCCATTGCCTAGAATGCCCATGTAGTCCACCCCAGCTAAAATTGTGCATACCACACTCAAAGTTGTTGACCACTACATAATTATACCTAGAATAAAAAGTCTAGTTAGGTAAGTCCAACTTCGAAAAAGAGATCTCTCGTCGAATCCAGCTCAGATGAGCAGCGATCGGGAAATTAAAATGACTTGTTTCTTTGTCGTACTATTCGCAAGTGGTATTCTTTGCCCGCGCACGTGTGTTTCTGCAATTTAGGGTCCTTTAAAAGAGAAGTGAAGAAGTATTTATGCAGGAAGGCATGGTGAGGATGATTGGTGTGGCTGATTAATGGGAAACCTGTTGCAACTAATAGTTGTTAAAGGCACTTAATTAGTAAAAAGTAAAAAGGCACAGTTTAAATAAACTTATGGAATTTTTGGCCCCTAAGATTGATCTGGCAGCTTACAAAATGTTATAATAGTCCCCTAAATATCATAGATAAATATCAGATCTCATACTGTAAATAAGTTTGTGGTTTTTGCTATCGACATTTAAAGTGCCTGGCAATAAATACTGCTGACAGTAAGTATCTGGCAGTATTAATTTCAAGTGGTTTACAATATTTTCTACAATATACGTCAGAATCAGTCCTCAGACTGCAAATAAAGTGAGTAAAATTATTACGTGCCTGTGCCACCTGGTACCTGAAAATTTACCCCCAACACAGATTACATTCGATTTATCCATATTTTGTCCTTTAGAAAATAAGTAAGCTCTGGCGGTCTCAGGATCCTACTCTACAAGTACATGTAGTTTTCATTACTAAAACCCAATTACAACATAGCACACAGCGAGGAGTATTATTATGTTTTGAAACCAATGCATATCTAGTTTAATTTTGTCGAAGAAGGATGCACCTTAATAAGAGACCCTTAAGAAGATTTTAATAAGTGTCATGGGCCCATTCTTATGCATCAAAATAGTGATAGGTCATAATATATTTTATTCAAAAGTCAAAATATCTTTATCAAATTGGTTGCATTATACAACTCTTATGACTCGTCCAAAATTTTTATAGTATATATATATATTATAAATCGAAGTTTCCATATAACAATAATATAATAACTATTTATTACCAAAAATTATACACAACGTACCATTTACAAAATAGTCTCAAATATAGGCAATCCTGTATCTCATGAACTAGAGTACGAGATTTGCACATATTCCTGAGGACATCCTTTCTCTGACAGAAGATTTTAATAAGTGTTATGATTGTTTCAGTGGCCAATGAGCGGGTAGGATGCGGCGGCATGCACCGCATCGTGCTGCTAATGGCGGTGCTCACCCGGGCCATTGCACCACAAATCACCCGCTTAGGTAAGTTATGGCCGATGACACAAGTAGATATATAATCCGTTGTCAACGTTTTGAGAACAAAAAGTTTACCTCTTAAGCAGCTACCGTAGATATCAGTTCTTAAGAATTTTAATATTGAATTGTTCTATTTATTTTGATAAGTCTCTAAGAGCTCTTGAGTAGTGCAAGTGTTTAGCGAATTAACTCCGATCGGGGAAATTAAGAAACTTTCGCAATGGCCAGATAAAAGATGGGTAACCAAAAATGTATTATCACGGGGTCCTTCGTGCTTCGGAAGACACGTAAAACCGTAGGTTCCTGCTACATCTGTAGTTGTGAGTCCTTACCAATGAGCTTAAGACCCACCTGGTGTACCATGGCTTAATCACACCTGTAGAAGACCTGTGCACTAGCACTAGAGACATTCATTTACTTTTTATCTCAAAACGTTTGAAACGGTCAGTCAACAACAAGTAACGCTATTAAAATCTGTTAATTTTGTTCAGTTGATTATAAGCTGCATCTTCGTTGATATAAGATTACAAACGATTAAGAAAATTTTATGCTTTGTGGTTTTTCTTATTCGGGGTATGTCTTGTGTCCTGTGAAAAGTGTTAGTGTACATGTCAGACTGTAATTCGGCTAGTTTTATTGACCATCACAAGAACGCTATTTCACTTTGTAAACGATTTAGAGCTTTCCATTTGTAGTACTTTTGTTCTTGGTATGTTATGTATTTTAATAACAGTTAAGGTAACCTAGAAGTAACTACAGAAAAATGCGCTTAAATTTACAGAATTTCTTATTTCCATTTTTCGCCACATTAACTCGTAAATTGAGTTAGTTAAAAAGTTTAGCTAGATGTGTTAAAAACCGTTTTCAAAGTTTATTTTAAAATTTAACATAATAGTTTGTAATTGCACGTTATGGATCGCGTCGTGCTGCTAATGACTCGAGCCACCCGGTCCCGCTCTATAGCACCACAAATCACTCGTGTCCCTTAAGCACTTAAGCTATGTATGACCCGTGACAGATGCACTTTGATAAATTTTAGATTACGTTCTGGAATGATCGAGGTATAAATGAACTATCAAAACTGTTAATTTTGTTCAGTTGATCAGAAGCTGCATCTCCGTTGATAAAAGATTACAAATGATTAATAAAATCTTATACTTCGTGGTTTTTATTATTCGGAGCATGTCCTGTGTCCTATGAAAAAATGATTGTGTACATGTTCAGTTGACTGTAGTTCGGCTAGTTTTATTGACCATCACAAGAATGTTATTTCACTTTGTAAACGATTTAGAGCTTTCCATTTGTAGTACTTTTGTTCTTGGTATGTTATGTATTTTATTTTTTTGTTACTACTAGAATAAGTAAAATATTTTTATAATCTAACTGAATCGTATGCATCACAAGTAACTAGTGCCATTAAAGAAAAAAATCAAAAATGCCGACACAATACATTCTATCTCTCGCACGCTACTTGGAATAAGATGTGCGAATCGCGAAATCATCTATTCTCTTACTTAGATTTTGAATTTTTATGGTTAAATTCATCTTAGTACATAAAACACTACTACTGTTACTATATAAATTAGTCTAATTAACTCTTTAAAAAATCTGTTTCATGTAGGGGTAATTATTTTATGTTATTATTTGCCATTACAGTGCTAATAGATATTCTGCTAGAATTCTATCTTTTCACCCATTAATTAAATTATGCTTCAGGGCAGTATACCATTAACATACAGACAGACAGACAGCGAAAGCTAAGTATAGGGTATTTGTTTCTAAGGTTTTCACGCACATCACTCATTAAATAAAACTAGTTTTTCACGGGTTAATGCACGAAACTTTATTTATTTATTGACGTTATAATAAAAAATTATTCCGATGAAGCAGCCTGTAAAGGCTGCGAAACGTCAATAAATAAATAAAGTTTCGTGCATTAACCCGTGAAAAACTAGTTTTATTTATGTATAGGGTTCCTTAATCAGTTTTTGAGAACGGAACCCGAAAATAAAATTCTAGATGATTGTGTTTGATATAACTTAGAGAGCTCAAAAGCAATAGTTATTCTAAAGCGCAATATTGAACCACACAAGGTTTTTCTAACCCGTTTTAAAGTGAAACTTTGTTATGAAATTAGCCAATTTTTTCGGTTCGTCTTTGCCATGACGCATTAAATTTTCAATTGTTATTAAAAATCTGACCTTATCCACATTGGTGGGTTTAGTTGTAGAAAGCTTTTCTACCATGTGAGCGACTTGGGTTCAATTCCCAGCCGAGGAAAGGACTTTTTTCTTCTCTCTTATTTTCCACTTTTTATAAGCCGGAGTAAAATCATCTTGAATAATTTTCTGAAAATTTTCAGTGATGTACATAAAACTTTTAAAAAGTTTCTACTGACGCCCAAGCACGAACTTGAATAAATCTGTAATCGTATCATCATCGTTAACTTGTGTATGGAAGTATACAGTTTACTATTACGACCGGTAGCGGCGCTGCTTAGTTTACATAGAAACTTTGACGATGCGATACGATCACGCAGCTATCAAAGTTCATGCATAAGTCTCTGCATCGTGTTTTCATTTCTTTTTCAGTTCCCTTTGTTACTGAGCCGTACGACTTGGAGTCTTCCACGGTGCCACCGCCTACCGTCTTCAAGAACACCATGAAACTACCCACGCGAATCGTCAAGGGATCCCGTAACGGGAAAGTGGATTCGCCCATGCTCAATTACATATTCGACTCGTACGCGACGAGCAACAAGCACTTTCATGACAAGTATTTTTTTTAATATATTTTGTTTTTTAAGCATTTGCAAGTACAAAAAGTCTGGACTATTTTCTAGATTTTTTTTCTTTAAATTTAAAGTAGGTACTTATGTTTATTTAATTATTTAATGTGAAGGTAGATTAATTAGTAGAAAGAGTAGTCAATTTATAGATGTACTAATGGGTGCCCGCGACTTTGTTTGCGTGTAATAAACAAATTATTTCCCTTTTCATCCCCATCAAGGCTGATTTTTAGAATAAATACTATTTTACGTCCTTTCCCAGTACTCAAACAATCTCTATACCAAAGGAGATTGCTCAGCTTCCATACATGTTTGGCCTAGAGACCAATAATCATGAAAAATTGTTTCCTAGATTCGAAATTATATATAAATTACTGTAGAAACGAATATTATTGACGGACACCCCTGAGAACTTCTATAAACCATATACACTAAACATATTAAAATAATAAAAAATAAATAAGTTATATAGTAAACTAGAGAAATCAATCCAAGTACCGAAATTATGGATTAGATTCAGGTATATAGAGCATGTAGATTAACAGATAGTTGCCTGTTTTTAAAGTTAATGCATAAGAGTAACTTATAAAATCAGGTGTCATCTATGCATGTCCGGTTATAATAAGGTACTCTGTGACAGAAACTGTGTGATGATTGTGAATGAGCCACAGATTAGAGAGAATTTTTAAACTCTCGTTAACCAAAGAAAGCTAAGAGATTTAGGTTATATAGCCATATATTCAGTAGCTTCATTATTTTTGTTATGTTTTTAATATAAACATATTTTAGATATTTAGTGTATCACACCTTATACTTTTATTTATTTATTAATTTATAGTCAGGCAACGTAGGCCCATAGATAGATACCTTAAAGTCTAACATACGAGTATATACAGATTATAATGTGTTTATGGAGGTGTTTGGCGAAAAATGTATGGCAAATGCAATAGACTTTATGATGTCGCCTACCATCTATAATAATTGTCTGAGCACATTTGTGGATATTAATACCATAGTGTAATAAAAAAATGATTTATTTTATCGATCTTTACAAAATAGATTTGTTTTTATGTTATATAAACAACTTCGATCAGTCTTTGGCTGAATGTTACTACACCCATAGCCATTTAAAAATGATCCGTATGTTTTCCAAACCGGTAAAATTAAAAGTATTTTTTAAAGTTAATATATTATACAAAGGTGTCCGTTGAAATCTAATGATTGTAAATTAAATTATAAATTACGCCAAGAATTACCCCGTATGTCAATATTTTTTGTGCGTTTGGGCCAATTTGAGCAATCTCCTTTCATTTGAATCGGTTCAGTGGTTTAAGCGTAAAGAAGTAAGAGACAGACAGGCACACAATGCATTTATAATATACGATGGTTTATCTAGGTGTGTGTATAAATGATACCTATACATAAATATAAAATAATAATAGCAATAAAGGGCACTGCTTATATCTAAATAACAGTGCAGCAAAACTCAGTATTGCCTGGAAAAAATGTTATTTTGAAGATTGACCAACCCATCGTGCTATAGAATGTTATACAACAACAATAATAATTATCATTAATTTCTCGACAAACTTGTTATAATTCTGGTACTAAGCAGAGTTTAAGAAGACCAGAACCTTATGAGCACTGCTAATCAAACCGGTTTTCTAACATAATAATCGTGTTAATTTTGATGTACAATAATATGTATAATATTATGGATATTTATTGGTATTTGAAGAACTTATGACTAAAACTATTTAAATTAAAATGCTGTTTATTTTATTAAAAAGAATTGCTTTATCTCTGTATCTGTATATCTGTATGTAAATATGCTGTGTGTTTTTCGAGCTTTCCACACCTCATTGAACCTAGCTTATTTACAAACGCTGTTATATTTCATTAGTGATTTAATTCGGTTTCCGGGTGATTACGGTGCTACAGATTTATTACTATCACGATCCAGTCGACACAATTACTGAAATCTCATTTCGCGAATTAAGTTAAGCCACACTAAATCTACTTCAGCACTTCGCATAAACCGCTTAATTGCTTGTATTTTAATCATTTTAAGTTGATACAGTTAATTTTAAGACGACAAAGGGAACAGCTTGTTTTTGTTATATAAGAAACAAGAACATACATTTTTTTTATGCAACATCTTGTATTTCTATTACGCTTACAAGGGATTATGACTAATTTTTTTCTATCAGGTAGATTATCAATGAGGATTGAACACATATTTTTCACACATATCTAAATATTACAGAGATATATTGATTTTGGTACAAATTTCACTTAGAAGTGACTTCACGAGCCCCACTCCCAGACTTTGCTCGTTTTATCTTTGTATTTTTTTGTTTGAATAATAAAGTGTTCATTATTTTTTGATAATCTTACTGACGGACTAAATAGAAATTCGTTTAATTTACCCTTTCATCATCCCTGAAATTAAATGAAAGTTTATTTGCATGTAACGACAACTACTGTCAACTATCAAAGGGACTTTTGCCACGCATAGCTCTAACACATTTCTTTTGAGCAATGAAAACTTTTTGAATGTTTTACTATCGCCCCACAGAAGAATCCAGTAATTTATAACAGGCGCTACATAATCGTAGTAAGCAGACCTGGTCTTTTACAGAGACGTTTTTTGGACAATCTCCTCAGTACGTACGAATCTATTTATTTTAGTGCATACCTAAGCTAGGTATGCCATATGACTAGTAAAATTTAAAATTTCGTAATGTACAATTCCAAGGAATGTGACTCTGTCAGTCTTTTCAATGGTTAAATCGTGATACTTGATATTAACGTCACAACTTGAGCGGCCTTTTACATTGAAATTTACATAGTTAGTCTTACTTAAATTAACGCAAACATTAAAATAACATCAAAATATTTAACTATGTCAAAAATTGTTTTATCAGTGCCATTTTCATGATCGCTTATGCCACTATAGTAATCGGATTCAATAGTAACCGAGATATCATCAGTAAACATTATCATTGATTTTCTGTCACTTTTGGCAAATTGTTGGTATACACTAAGAATAAAGGAGGGCAATATGCTACCTAGCGGTACTCCAAATTTGGCTCAATGGCAAACACGTTTGATTTAAGTTAAGTTGAGTTGAGTTTTAGTTATAATTTGCAACGTAATTAAGACAGCATTTATTTTCCAGACCTCTGTTGGTATAATGATCAATTAGACTGTAGCAAGTAAAGATTTTGGTTATATACCAAGGCTTCAAACAACTATGTATTTAATTCTTCGTTTTTTTAATATATTTTTTTTTTTTGTTGTTTCATACTTTCCTACTGATATCATAAATGTGAAAGATTTTATGTTTGTAACTCAATCACACAAAAACTAATAATCGGATTAGGATGAAATTTGGTATGCATATAGTTAACGATCTAAATTGAAGATAATTTTTATCCCCAAAAAATTAGAGGTTTTTTTGGAATTCTGAAAAAAAATAAAGTTAGCACAGACGATGTCGTTTGCCCGCTAGTTCTTAAAAACTTACTATTAAAATCAAACCATCAGTTGCTGAAACGGTTGTTTCTGGTAATAAAGAATTTGCTTGAGCATTGAAGTGTGCTAAATGAGCCTTCACATATTTCTCATTCGAACAAATACTCGTCCACAGTATGAGACGACGTTGACTGATGATGTCTCTCTCCTTGAAGTGAAAGACTTTCATCAATTTGTGTTAGATACTATGAGAGCAGTAGGTAATGTCATTAGTAGATAACCCAAAAAGTCTTTATTCTGTGATATTCTATACATAGTGTCAAATAAAGTCACATTCTGCGTATGTTTGTTTATCCGCAAATTCCTCCTAATCCACGCAATTGATTTCGATGCAGTATTTAACAGAAATTAGATATTTTTTTCGAAAAAATACATTTAATACAAGCTGAAGAATAACAACTATAGTCGCACCGAAGCGAAACGAGGGGTATCACAAGTAGACTATAAATGTGAAATAGGAACAAAATAGCACCTCTTAAGCTGTTGCAGGCAAAAAACAGTAAATCTTTCTTAAAACAGTTATATTTGGCTGAATTTGCTAAGTTTTATTTAAGTGATTTTCTACTTTGAACTAATTGTATTATAAAAATACAAGCTGTAAAAATATCAGTACTGTTTTTTATATATCAATGAATTTTAAAGTTGTCAGCCGTGACTAGAATATGTAATGAAGTTTTATTTTAAACTCCCTAGCGTCCAATTTCAAATGCCGGGGGCCAGCAGCAAACACCTGTGTGGAAGACAGCATTCCAACGAAATTCCAACCCCTTAGTAACTGAGTATCCGCTTACAATACTGAATTTTTTCATCAATCTTAACTTTTAAGCTCTAAATCTATGGTAAGGCTTATTTACTATCCTTAAAAGAGGTTTACTTAAAAATTTATAGGTATCTCTTAACTACAACGAACCATATCAATCGTGCGTAAATTTGGAACACTTTGATTTATTGTATCTTTAAGCATATGACTGCTAGATGTTTTGACCTAAAGAAAATTATTTTACAAGCCAGGACAGTTTTTGTTCTATTTCTTAGGTCAGTAGCGGCCCCCACCACTGATTTTACTATTCTGGCTTATGTAGTAGCTTCATGTGGCCATGTGTAGTTTTCAGTTAGATAGTAAGAAGGAAACATGCGTTTTGTTTTTTTTTTCTAACAGCTGTAATATAAATTTTAGGCTAAGGGGATTTTTAAGAAAATTCAATATCTTACAATAAAATAACAAACTTATGCTGCAACAGTAATATATACTCTTATAATAATATTCCAATATACCTACGTGTAATATCTTATGTTGTTACATACTCAATGCTCAGCTGCTCTTCAATGTATATTGCGCAAATCTTGGTACATAGTTACATGTTAATTTATTCATTGCTAGGCTATCATTAGTCACTCGTCTTTTCACGGAGCTATAACTATGAGAAATTCGGGTAATTTAGGTTTGGCA